TGGCAAATGGCAAGCATAAGCAGCTGCCCAGTTTCTGGATACCTTCACAATTACCCGATGCAAAACGATCAAAAATAGAGAAACCTGACCCCACAGTGTATTGCCCTATTAGTGGAAAACCACTTAAAATGAAGGATTTGATAGAGGTGAATTGGACATTGGTAAAAGACCCTGATGATAAAAAATCATTGATTGCAAAAGAGAACAGATACATGTGTCCCATAACACATGACATACTTAGTAATGCTGTTCCTTGTGCTATTATCAGGTTAAAATATTTTTTATATTCCTATATATACACTTTTTATCTAATAATTTAAAATTAATTTTGACTTTTTTATAGGACTACGGGACATGTTGTTACAATGGAGTGTGTAGAGAAGATAATAAAGAAAGACTGGTTACACCCACTTACTGGTGACAAATTGAAAGAGAAAGACATTATACCATTACAGAGAGGTGGCACAGGATATGCACTTACTAATCAAAACCTTGAAGGGAAGAACGAAAGGCCAGTGTTGCAAGCTTAACACATTTAGTACAACTGACTTGCCCTGTAAGTATGTAAAACGAATAGTGGCATTGAATGTGTTAAATTTTTGTATACATATTGAGTTCCATTGTAAATAAATCATATTTTAAATTGTGTCAACTTTAATTTAAAATTAGTTCATAAGTCCCTTGTACAATACTATTTTTTAGCCAAAAAAATCAAGATTTTAAATAGGTTTCATTAGTGGATATGTCATAGGAAATTACCACCAGGTTTTTTTTTACTAAAAATAAGCATGATTCAATTCATTGTTCAAGTTTATTTATCTAATTAAATACAATTTATATAATTAAAAAATAAAAAATATCTCCAATTGCAATACAAATATTTACTTAATTCTAATTATTAAATTAATAAAGGTCCAGTTGGAAATCAACTACATTGTTCCTTATTTCAGTCGTAGGATACGATAGACATTCGCTGTCTAAAGACTCCAAAAAATTTAATACTGATTGGTTTTGATTTTCATGATTATTTTCCCAATCATTTTGATTTTCTTCATTTACATGATTTTTATTACTTAAATTTTCATCTATTATATGCAATAGAGCTGGTTCAATTAATGTATTTGATTTAATTTCATTTTCACTTTGTTCATTTGTTACATCTATAGTCCAGTCTTTGTTCACAAAATCTAAATTATTATCACTAACTGTTTTCGTTGGTATATCTATACAATCACTAAATATTGTACTAATATTTGTATTTAACGATTCACTTGATTGTACTTCATTAAATTTAGTTTCTATACCACGAGGTTTTATTACTTGCACTTCATATTTTGGAATTTTTTCCGGATCAATTTGGAATTTGCAAAATACAGTTGATGACTGTTTAATTGGTGATGATCGAATATCAAAATGTGCGCTGTGAAATTGAACATGGGAGGGTTTTTTTGCTGGTTCATTTAAATTTTTAAGATTTTTATTAACTATAGGTTCATTATTTAAATTGTTTTGTAAATGAGGTACATTATTTGGTTGTAAATTTGTGTCATTTTCAGTCAAAGTTATAAGATCATCCATTTTTAATTCAATAGCAGTGTTTGATTCTGATTCGATTTTTATTTTTTTTGCATTTGTATTTTGCGATTTTTGTTTCCAATTTCTTTTAGAGACGGTAGGCCATTTCACAACTGAGTTTATTCGTGCACAATCATCAACTTTGCTATCACAATTAGATTGTTCTTCCTTATTCTTAGTCCAAACTTGTGATGGATTGCCTAAATCCGAGTTGGACTGATTGCTCTTTGCAGGATTGTGTCTACAATGACCCTCTTTGTCTTTTACACAACTCAATGCATCCATATTTAGATTGTACTTTCCAGGATTCATACCAAATAGTCTAGAAATATTTAAAATGTGTTAATGTATTAAAAAAAAACATTCAAAAATTACACAAAATTATATTTTTTTCCTAGAACTAAAATTGAGATATTAAAAGGTTTTATTTTTAAAAATGTTGCTTAATCTTCTTAACCGATAATGTAACTAGGTACATAATATTTTTTTTTATTTACCTGCCAATATCATCATTTATATTGCACAATTTGCCCTCATTCCCATCAACTTTCTTCAACAAGCAAGGCAGAAGTGATTTGAACTTTGCAATCAACTGCTCAAGCTGTTGTATAAAGATGTTGGCGCGATCTTCTTCTGAGCCACTTTTGATGATTGCCAGTAGACAATGGAACAGATTAGAGTGGACTTTTGCTGGTATATGAGTTGGATGATTCTCATAGTGCCTCTGAAGACGATACAAGCTACTGAATTCCTGAAAAAAATTAGACATTTATAACTCATAGTATGTCTATGTTATTTTCATCATAGTTTTAAGGTAATCATAGTAACTTTACATTATACAAGTGTGAATAAAAAAAACTAAGTACTGCTCTCAAGTCACTTCATAAGGTTGATGTATTGAGATCTTTTGCTAAATATAATGGAACACTAAAATATGATAAAAAACAAATAAAACAGCACTTACCGAGGAACATTGGAAACAAGAGACAATAGTTCCATTTTTCTTCCTTGGCTTGTGAGGGGTCTCTTCCTCTGGGGAATGATGCTTTGGTAGTTTTACCTTCCTACCACTCCTTGTCACTTTTGCCTGTAATAAATGCACCAACATTAAATTTGTTAACCTATAATTTCTAATATTATAAATCTGAATATTTGGATAGATGGATGTTTGTTTGAAGGTATCTCCAGAATGGCTCTATAGATCTTGCTGAAATTTGACCTAGCATAGAACTTAGTCGAGCTGGGATGGTGTGGTGGGCGACAGATAATATGCAATAAATATCAAAAACATAGATTTTACCTCTAAAATGACTGGTTGAATAGCAGATGGTTCATCACAGACTTCCTGAGCAATAGGTTTTAAATCTTTCTTTTCTATCTTCTTTTTTAATACATCTTCTTCAATTTCCTTTTTAATGATTTCCTTTTTTGTATCATTTTTCTTCTGTGTAAATAACATATTTTTCTTACCAACTAATGTCAAGTCTTTTGGTGATAACACTCTGGAATTAAAATAACATGTTATTAAAAAAAAAACAAATTCTCTTCTTTGAATGTTTAAAAATTTGAAGGAGGTAAAACATATATCCGAGCCCCTCGGTGGGGAAGTATAGTGAGCTGATGATGATGAAAACATATATCCAATCAGTTTTTTTTAAATATATCGGATCATATATACTTTTTAAATAATATCAACATACAACTCTTGAATATTTACAACTACCCTCAATTATAGAATGTTTTGTTTTGTAATAGTATATTATTTTAACATACTTGTATATATATCTTGTATTAGTCACTGGATCATAAGCTGGTTCCTTTGGTGTGTTCTCAGGTTTGCTGAATATCTTCAGAGCATGGTTCACTATCTTCTTTTGATCATCATTTAACTCATTTAGACTGAAAAATATAGGAAGCATGTAAAAAATATAAGCACTATTAAAGACAAACTAGCATCCATGAGGATTTAAAAAAATATAATTAGTAGCCTATGTGTTCTTCCAGGCTATGTTCTATATGTACACCAAATTTCATCGAGATCCTTTCAGAGGTTCTGGAGATACCTTCAAACAAACATCCAATCATCCATGTAAACATTCGCAATTATAATATTAGTAAGATGAATGGTGAATTGTGGTTGTAAACATGATTTAATATATGAGCTGAGTATATAATTTGTTTTTTTTTCTACTCTCATGACCAGGAAATCTTTTGATGATAGAAGAACTAAAACAGTTAACAGTATCTTATATTTTATTCTTAAATGTTAAGAAATTGCATTTACTTATTTTAAATAAGTGATGATTATATTGTGAATATTTATTTAATATGTAATTGTTAAATACCTGTGGTATGAATCTCCAAGTTTTATTAACTGCACGGATGTATGTTTGTTTACATTTTGAGTGCTGAAAAAGATAATGGTATTATGTTAAAATTGCTTAAAACATACATATATTTTTCCCCAAAAATATTAACATTTTGGTAGGAATATAATAATTCCACTTCAACTTACTTTTCTTTTGGTTTAATCTTTGGCAACTTCTTTGTTTGAAATGAGGTTGTAGCACTGTTTGGGATATTTTTTAACTTTACAATCTTTCTATGGGTGTCCAATTTAGAAACGGTAGTAAAAACATTTTTTGTTGTATTAGGCGAGGCAACAGCGGGTTTTAACACAACATTAGTCACTGGTTTAATATGCTCTTTACTTTTATCATTCTTAGGTGCGAGAAAACTAGCCAGTTTTAAATTGTTCCCGAATATGCTGTTGTCTACTTTTCTTAATATCTTGGGCTTGTGCTCCACATTTTCATCGAGGTTATTTGCTATTTTGCCGCTATTTTCATAAAAACTTTTCAAGTTGTTACTGGCTGGATTTTGTGAGCTTTCATTGTTTTGCGGTATAATAAATGATTTAACCTAAAGGTGATGAAAGTAACTTTTGAATCATGATAATAAATAAATAAAAAGACTAAAATAAACACACTTCAAGTACCTGATTAAAGTTGGGATTTTGTATCAGGTAAACCGGCATATATTGACATGAGTTGATAATAATATTCTCTGCCGATGAGTTCATAGTTCTGTATTAACCAAAATAATTGTTATTTACCATTTAGTTCATAGTAAAAAGTAACAATAAGTAAAAGAAAAACCTAACATAGAAGTGTTCTTTTGACGTTACCGTTTTTGTTCGGTAATTATAATTTATCCCCCACGCAGAGATGTTAAATGTTACTGAACGTGTTTTTCAAGACATTTAAAAAAATACCTAAAGGTAACTGTTTAATTATTACAAACATAGTCTTCTAAGAAGCTTATTTTATTTAATTATATTTTTGTAGGAATAATTTGATCTTTTATTAAAAAATTTTAAATTAAGACTAAAGTGTTTACACATCAAAGAGCATATAAAAGTTGCACATGGCAAGTTTTCGTTCTGACGATCAAAGACAAACTAACCTATTTTCTTTCTCTATAGCCAAGCCTTGTAAAGTTAAGGTGAATATTACGAATAATCATTTTATAATTATTATAAATAATTAAAACTGTATATTTTAAAACTTTTATTGTTATGTGCCAAACAATTTGTTGAAAAATAGTACTTTAACACAACATTACCGTTTACCAATGTTTAATATCGTGAGGCCACGTGCATTGTGTGTACGAGTAACATAAAACTTTGATTTCAGGCGTCAAGATGACGAATTCCAAGGGTTACCGCCGCGGCACAAGGGACTTGTTCGCCCGCAAGTTCCGAACACATGGAACCATCCCGCTTTCAACTTATATGAAAGTTTACAAAGTCGGAGACATCGTTGACATAAGGGTATGTATGATTGATTGAATTTGTAGGTTGCCGTAAATTGACTTTAAAAAAAAGCACCGATTATTGTGTTGCATTTCGACTCTAAAACTTTACTTAGAAGTGTTTGAAATTGTTATTTTCTGTTTACATTTTAAAGACTTTGTAAATTACCAGTTAACTGCTTTGCCAATAAGCATGAGAAGTTTAATGTGATTAAAGACCTCTACAATTCTTTTGTCTTGTATTTTTAGGAATATGTAATAAATGCTTTATAGAGAAACTGATATTCATTTTATTTTCAGGGCAATGGCGCAGTTCAAAAGGGTATGCCACACAAAGTCTACCACGGCAAGACTGGTCGTGTTTACAACGTAACAGCCCACGCTCTCGGTGTTATTGTTAACAAGCGAGTACGTGGCCGCATTCTACCCAAGAGGATCAACATCCGTGTTGAGCACGTAAAGCACTCCAAGTGCAGAGAAGACTTCTTAAAGCGTGTGAAGGAAAACGAGAGGCTCTTGAAGGAAGCCAAGTCTGCCGGTAAAATTGTCAAGCTGAAGAGACAGCCTGAGCCACCTAAAGCAGCACACATTGTCAGCGGTGCAGAGAAACCAATCTTACTGGCTCCTATTCCATACGAGTTTGTAGCTTAAAGTGGAATAAACTATTTTTAAGTATCATTGTCCTTTTATTTTCAAATATTGTTAGATGTATTGGGGTTTTTAAATGTCTTGATAACTCAGACCATCACATGAGACACTGCGATGTAGTATGTACACAGACGAAGGGGGGGAAGGCACTGTGCAGAGAAAGGATGACCCTTGAACCAATAAAATTGTTGAAATCACCTTAAATAGTTATTAAATAAATAAAAAGTTATTAGAGTAAATATTAAAAGAAAAAGAGTACAATGGATGTGTTGGTGGAAATAATATTTTTAGTTGGTAAAATAAAACAGAACATTCGAGAAAATCACAATTTTTAATTTTCGAACGATCAAATATTTACAAAATGTATTACTAAAAATGAATAATCAATGTTTGGAATATTAGAACAATCTCAGTAACTTGTGCCGTATCAACGTTAACAAACAAGGCATATCAGTTCAACTATCCATTGACCACTAACTTAAATATACTATATATAAATTACTATAACTAGTGAAACTTAACAACTAGCGTCTCTGGACTGATAAAAGAGTATATATCCGGTTTCGGACGATTTCTGTAAATCAGAAGTTAGGCCGTAGAAGTCTTCTATAGCAGATGCATCGATTTTCTGTAAAAAACAAATGTTATTCTTACTTATATTAGGTACTAACACATGATTAACTCTAACCCATTCAGTGCCAGCAACTAAAGTCACATTACATTAAAACAAAAAAATTGTAGATGCACCAAAAATATTTCAGCTCCATATTTTAGCCATAACATGAATTAAGTATACTTACATCGACCATGTCATCGTCGAAGAGCAGCCAGAAGCCGTGGCTCTTGACAATGCTGATGTAGTGTCCGCGGTTGGGACCGGAGCCGCAGTGCACCACCACCGCCACCAAGTCGTACAACCGGTCTGGGTTCACCGCGTCATCTGACTATCATACATACATAACAGTTCAATCACACAAGAGTTAATATCATAATATATTTCTTTATATAATTTCTTCCATAATAAAAAAATATAGATTAAAAATAAATTCATGTACTTTTTATCCATATTAATTTTAACTCAATGAAATTTTCATCAGTTTGCACATTTCCTTAAAAAGTGGTACAAAGTTTTTGCTTCAAATATTAAGAAAGTGATAAATTAGCACAAGTAATATTATCCGTACTCACAGTATTAAAAAGCCTCAATTCCAAGGGGAACACAACTCTATGGGACACCTTGATATGCCTATTGTATTGTTCCATGTACTTGAACCGTTTGAGATGAAGCGCTAGTATGAGAGGCAGTTTCTTGACCCTCATTCGCTTCTGCGCCTCTTGATAGCTGCTACAGTTGTCACATTTAAACTTGTTGTCGTTACACAATGTCTCCGTGTCACTAAAGCACTTCAGACAATGAGTAATGCTTGTGTTCTGACCAACGTCCACCTGGAATTAGTGACCTGTTGTTAGTGAAAAGTGAAAGAAGAGCGTGGGTGGTTCAGTGGTCAGGCACTTGACTTGCAATATGCAAGTCCTGGGTTCGAATCCTGTCAAGTACCAATGTGTTTTTCGATATCCGATTTACATATGTACATTTTTCCGACGTTCTTACGGTGAAGGAAAACATCGCGTGCAACCTGCACATATCTGAGAAGTAATTCAAAGATATGTGTGAAGTCAACCAACCCGCACTTGGCTAGTGTGGTTGACTATGGCCCAATCACCCTTAACTTAGGGTAGGCTCCGAGCCCCTCAGTGGGAAGTATAGTGAGCTGATGATGATGATGTTAGTGAAAAAGCCTTAATAGATACTCTATTTTAGAATACAATGTTGTATACAATTGATTTGGAGAACATGAAACTTAATTGAATACCAAAGATGTGTTGTGTCATATGCTATGCAACAAATTTCTTTAATAATAGTTTTCAATCCTAAAAACTAAAGACAATGTTTTAGTCAAGAAACGTATTTTAGTTTCTTAATGTTGCTTCACCTGTAAATCGAAGAAGTGCTCGTCTTTACTGCTGACAGTCTCACAGTTGAGACACCTGGTCTCACTGGTGAGGGTGCCCTGAAAGATCTCGTGCACCCAGGTTGGCTCAGTGCTCTGTGGCACGGACCCGTTGCATGTTACCTCGCCTGTAGGCTTATGCACTTTTAATGTACTCTGGTTGCGTTCCGCTAAAAGAAAAACGATTTTTTAATTTTACTAAGTTACTATGAATATTAGAGTTGTAGTGGTAAAATTATTGATATACTTACCTAAAATAATTTCATTTATGTGATTGATTAAAAAATTTAGAAATTCATGGGCATCCTGTTGCATATAATTATCAAACTCTTCTGCAATGAAAAGAAAACAAAGTTTTATATTAAACATCTAGAGATTGTTTAACTTGAACCAAGTAAATCTGATCACTCCCTTTAGCAATACTTCTACATGATTCTGAGATAAATAAGTGATACTTACCTTTCTCTTTCCTTAACCTAGCTATAAACTTCTTGGGCGCTATAGAACCTACTTTTTTCTTTTGCGTAGCAATGCTATAAAATAAATCCGCTAGACATGTTAAAAGTGTTTCCTTTGTTCTCTTATTTTTTGCTTTATATTCAAGTACTTTCTCTCTAAAAGGCCGACAGAAGTATAATGCTTGCAACACTGAATTACTATAGCAAGTGTTGCCAAACTGAAAAAAAACATAATAATATTAGCTTCTAGTATTACAATTACTTTGATTTGTTTTTTTTTCTTAAGCATAACTACAATTTGATACAGAAAAACTAAATATGTTAACAAAGTAGGATTTTCATTACATAAAAAAGTAAAAGGCATTGTTTAGAAATTTGTTATATACTAGTTAATCTTATTTAACTCGGAAGTTATTATTGTTAAGTAGACTACATGTTCAATTAACAATTGAAGCACTTATAGGCACTCAAATAACCAGATTAATGTTTTACATAACCTTTGATTGTGTATCACTATATAAATGACAATCTGATTGACCTTAAATGTTTGGAATTATATTTTACATAACCTTATAATTAAGGATGTTAACTTGATTCTTTTATTTAAGTCAATTAAGTGGTTTATTGATATTTTTTTTAGTTTTGATGCTTTAATGCATTGAACAGTAAGTCTAATGATCTTATTTAAAATTATAACTCTTCATCTCTTTATTTCTTATAAGACAACTAGTTCTGGCCGCAACTCTATCCATGAAGAATAAAAAAAAACTTAATTAGTTGGGTAAGGGATCCATTCAGCCATTCTGGAGATACCTTCAAACATACATCCAACGAAACATTCACTTTTATAATATTAGTAAGATTTTTTCAAGATAGTTTTATCATATGATAGACAATGATAGACTTATCTCAGTACATCATATAGATAAGAAACAATAAAAAAATTAAAACTGCATACATTTCTAAAAACTTATATTAAAAAAGGTATTCTTAACAGTTATGGCCACATACAATTATTTTTTTCAGTATTGACTAATTACCTCAGCCATAATGTAAACTCAATATGGGAAAACTTTTCTTGATTGAATTCACTAAACATGAAGCATAGTACTTTAATAGAGTTTAGTTTAGTTTTTATATAATTTCAGTCATATATTCTGCATCAAAATTATTACACTATGCATATTTTGATAATATGAAGATTAAAGATTGATGTTATAATGATTCTACTAAGTGCCAATTTATATTCCAATCAGATTGTATTAGAATACTATTCAATCCTTATAAAGTTTTAGATCATAAATATAATGTATCATTAAAATCCTTTAACTGTAACATGGATCAGGCACTCAATAGCACTTTCCTAATGTAAATAAATGTAGGAATACTTCAAAAATTACTTACATTAACTAAACCAAAATAATGTTCGTTAGGTGGAAACTGCTCTGACCCGATATCTCTTTCTAACTGTGATATATTTGCGCCCTGAAATGAGGAATTACTTATGTCATACATAACGCCGACACTTTTCTCATCGTAAATATAAACAAATGATGAAATGTTAGCACACATTTATTTTCATGTAATACTGTGATTCATAAAAAATATTTGAAAATAGTAAGCATTTATATTTTACCAATAATTTAGACGTGTATACTCTTACCATTCTCTGTTGGAAATTAAGGCCGAGATCCTGACATATTGACATTTGCAATCTGTTTTTAGCGACTTCTTGTATGGAACACACAATGCAGCGAGCCAAAAATATTATTTATGTTATCACTGTTGTGTCTGAAAACATAATTATTATTTCAGATGAAATTAAATTAACCTGAGAAACAGAAACGAAAAGTCAATCATGTTCTTGACAATCAATCAATTTTATGACAGTTCTTATTTCTCGTGAAGTGAAAAGTACAGATTAAATTAGGCGGGGTTGCTATATCAGAAAACTGGGGAAAGAACGAACAATCGGTTATTTTACAAAAAAAAATTGTATCTTCGTCCTTCCGCATGTTAATCAATATTAGAAGTTAGAAAAGAATAATTTAGTTAACGTTTAGGTGGCGGTAAAAGTAATAACGAGGAAGTTTTGCAAAAAAAATAGGTTTTTTATTAGAAGTAACTGGTTTTTTTTTTAATTGAGTCAAAACAACGTATAAAAAACTCTTATGAACTTCACAATTTAGGGATTTAGTTCAGTTTCAGTCGTTTCATAATCTTTGCCCCGGCTTGGCGCGAGTGAATATTGAATGACTTCCGGTATCCCACTTTGTGGAATTCGAATCGAGATAAAGTCGATTGTTCGAGATCCCCGTTTGAGAGTAGGGAACAATCTATTCAATCTGTGTTCGAGACAGGAAGTTTACGTGTTGAAAATTGACGTGGCGGTCAATGTTTTATAGCCGGTGATTGAACTAATTTCTAGATTCCAGAACTAATTTAACAATTAGGAAACTGCGGTATGCTTAGGCACACTTTGTATCTTTTAATTAATTTATTATGCTGAATATATGTAATACTAATTTGAACTTTACAGGAAAAATGAAGATAACATTATTTGTGGTTTTGGCTATATCAACCGTATTTGCTGGTGTTCCTAGTCCCGAGGAAACCAAGCGTCTCATGGATCATCTTTCGGACCAGGAACATTTTAGGAATGAACACCACAATAAGCAGTTCGATCACGATGCGTTTTTGGGAGAAGACCAGGCGAAAACTTTCGATCAGCTGCCGCCTGAAGAAAGCAAGCGGAGACTTGGGTAAGGTTTAATTTTATAAATACATCGTTCTATTTTAAATAAGTCGGTTAAGTGTCAATTTAACTAAGCATTTATTTGACCTAAATAGAAAATTGGGTATTTAATTTTAACAGCAGCATTTACTATTGTCATATCAAATAAATGAATAGTGAGGCTTATTTGTACCCTTATTATTTTCCTATTACAAAAAAAAATCAGTCAGGCAGTTACTTAACTCTTTATTCACCATATAATCTTGATAAGATATAGATTCTAAGACTAATCTGTACATCCCATATTTCTACACAATATGTGGGTTAGATAAACTAGCAAACTATTTTAATGTAGACATTGCACATTCTTACCATGAAATTCCTTTGAATACATGGTTAAACATATTGCTATCTCTGTTTACACCAATAGAATAAGAGAGATAACAATGTTTGCATACTAGTGTTTTTAATAGTGGAAACTAATAAGTGTGTGGATGTAAAATTACTGTATTTTAAAGCTGAAACATGATCTCAATTGCTAATTTATAACTAATAATTGCTAGTTCAAGCATAATTTTTTTTATTAAGCATTATTTTGCTTGGATTATGATGGTTTAGTAACCTAGCATATACTGCAACCAGCTTTAATACGATGAAATAAGTTATGAATTTAGTTTTCATTAAAATTGTTGAGTGTAACTTTAGTTGCATTAAAATATTTCTCAAACAATTCCGTAGTTAAAAACATAGAAAATCTGGTCTAACACCATAAAATCTGGATTATTAATTTTATAATAATATAAAATTTATATTTATTGTAAACTAAAAATATTAAGATTATGTTGGATATTACTCATATTACTCTAGCTGCAATGCTATAAGGTCACCGACCTACTTATCACAATTTTAAACATGTTCCGTTCATGTAACATTGTGATTCTAGAATAATCGTTGACAAGATTGATTCAGACAATGATGGATTTGTGACACTTGTGGAACTGAAAGATTGGATTAGATATACACAAAAACGGTACATCGAAGAAGATGTGGAGAGACACTGGAAACAACATAATCCCGAAAACAATGATATTCTTCCTTGGGAGGTATGGAAACTGTTTATTTTATTATTGAATCATTTTAAAATTGTAACATTTTTTTTTGTGCATCCTCTCCTCCGTCGATTAAAGGTAGGCAACGCATATGCAATTGTGTATGTCTATGGGCAACGGTCACTTCGCTATTTCAGCGATTTCAGGTGGCCGCTCGCTCGTTTGCCCGCACCTTATGATATAAATAAAAAAAAAAAAAACATTAAAAATAAAACATATTCTTATGGCTCAGATCTTAAACATAAATTAATAATTATTGTCATAATTACAGGAATATAGAAAAAATGTATATGGATTTATGGATGAAATGGATGAAAGAGAGCTGAAGACACCCAACAGTGAAGGTTTTACTTACTCTAACCTGTTGAAGAGAGATCGCAGGAGATGGCATTATGCTGGTAAATTATTTTACTTACATTCACATACAATTCCACTGTCACAGAACTTGCGGAAAACTCCTGTAATATCCCGACCACGCAGAAGACACATCTGATGAGTGTCGGAGACCTTGTTTTAGTCCTTTTACCCTTCTCACCTATTGCTTATAAGTAAAGGATGGGAAAATTAAGTGAATTTGACGGAGTAAGGGATATATAGAAAGGGGAAAATGTCCTCTTTCTGAGCGACTCTCCATCGTATGAAGAAAAGCAATGCCTTTGCAATTGGTTATGACTAAGGGCAGCTGTTTCGGCGAATTCAGGTGGCCTTGCTCGTTTGCCACTTTCTTCTTTCCACTTTCTTGCCACTTAATTCTTTCTTCTAGGTTATTTCTGTGGTGTTTTGACACAGTATTACTTGCAATGATTATGTTACAGATGGAGACCAAGATGATGCTCTGAACAGGACTGAGTTTGGGTACTTCCTGCATCCCGAAGATCATTCGGGAATGCGTGATGTTGTTGTATTGGAGACTATGGAAGATATTGACAAGGATAATGTAAGTTATTTATAATCTTACTAATATTATAAATGTGAATGTCAGGATGTATGGATGGATGGATGTTTGTTGAAGGTATGTTTGTCGGAATGGATCTTGATGTTTGACATAGAAGTAGAACATAGTGTGAAAGAACACATAGGCTACTGATTAGGTTTTTTTTTTAACCTGCACGGACGGAGTCGCGGGCGAGGGCTAGTTCTATTTTAAAATAATATATTAAACTTTTGACATATTGACTTCAGGATGGTAAGGTGTCATTGGAGGAGTACATCGGAGACATGTACAAGCCGGAAGATGTTGATGAAGAAGAGGAACCCGATTGGGTGAAGCAGGAACGTGAACAGTTCACTGGATATAGGTAGGATAAGTTATTCTGATTAGATTCATACATTTAATGTCATGTTTTTATGTTGAGTAAAATCTTACTAATATTATAAATGTGAATGTTTGTATGGATGGATGTTTGTTAGAAGGTGTCTCCGAGATGACTTAACTAGTATTGATGAAATTTGGCATAGATGTAGAACATAGTCTCGAAGAACACATAGCCTAATATTAAGTTTTTTTTTTATTTCGAGCAGATAGAGGTTACTAGTTATTAATATAATGGTAATTACAAACTCAATTTGATTTGAACATTTTTATTTGTTTTTGAAATTGATAGTTTTTAATTAATCCATGTTGATAGGGACACAAACAAAGATGGTTTCATGGATGAGACGGAGGTGAAGGACTGGATTGCGCCGCCGGAGTTCGACCACGCGGAGGCGGAGGCGAGGCACCTCGTGTTCGAGGCAGACGGTGACGCTGATGAGAAGCTCACCAAGGCAGAGGTCCTGGATAAATATGACCTGTTTGTTGGCAGCCAGGCCACTGACTTTGGTGAGGCCTTAGCGAGGCATGATGAGTTCTAAATGTTTTTTTCATGTAAACTCCGTGATGCCTTAATAAAGTGGATCGAGTTTATTCATAAACTGAATGATGCCTTAACGAGGCAAATTGAGTTTCGTTTATTTGATTGACGGATATATAATTTATGGACCAATTTTGTAATTTTCAGATTTTTTTTTCAATTTTCTTTTGTTATAATTTTTTTTAAAATTAAAATGCAATTTTATAATTGTCGAAATTAATTTTTTTTTGTAAATTATTCCTGACTATTGTAATTCTTTTACAAATATTTAAATGTTTGAAAAATTGGTCCTTAAGTTATGTATTTACTTTTGCCAGTAATTATAATAATTTTTAGTTGTAAAACATGTTATCAATTTAAATTTTATTTCTATTTTAAACATATTGTCAGTTTTATATCGTATTGATACGTTGAAAATACATTTAGAATAAAAAATCTCCTAAATGGCATCTAAAATTTACAACTTATGAAATGTGTTCAAGAAAAAGGTAAACTAATATTAACTCGAATGTAAAGATTTTTTTTTAGTTTTCTCAAAACTAAACTTCAAACCTAAGTTAAGAATAACTCAATTTTTTTTGCCGATTTAAAAAAGAAAGAGTTTTAAATTTATAAGATTTTTTTGTTTTTAACCTTTAAGTCGACGAAATTTTTTGTTGCAAAATTTTTTTTTTTTTTAGTATTCATTTTTTTAATTACTTGTTCTTCACACTGGACACCATCGTATTAAGGGTTAATATATGTTATAAAATGAGTCTCTTTGATATAAAATATTATTGTAAAATTGATAATTTCTATGCAATTAAACCTGCCATATTAGTCTTATAGAATCTCTTAAGCCAATTATAATGTAAACATTTTTATTACGTAGTTTCTAATGATACCAAAGCATTTTCTATTATATATTACTTTTGTCAATTATTTGGTATAATTTTTATTCCTATTTAATTTGGATTTTAAAATCCATTTTTTTATACGTAATTGATGTCATTACTTAATTTTGTGATATTTTTTTGAGCCATTTATTTTGACTAATGACTTTTATTTTGATGTTGAATAATTTTCTTTAAAATCATGTATTAATATGCATTTAATATAATTCTACTAATATCGTAAGTAAAGGTAAAATATATTTTATGATGGCAACAATATTTTCATGTTTAATCTGTATTTTTATATTTTTTAATATTTTTTTTTACTAGCATCAAGTACAATTTAACATAGGAATTGCTTATGTTCTAGTTAGATTAATAAATGGTCTTAATTAAAAATCGATTCATTTATTTTACCTTTTATTCCTTATGTCCTACTAGCTTTCGCCCGCGACTCCGTTCCCTTACATTACTCCTCCGTACTTATATTTATGACAAATTTCAGCGAGACCCATATAGCTTATGAAGATATCTTCAAACAAACATTCACATTTATAATATTAATAAGATTAGGAATTTCAAAGGCTTGTTTATTTAATCGAAATGATATGTAAGTAATAAACAGTTCACTAAAAGTTACCGTGCGTTTACACTGCATTATAAAGCAAAGACAACGTTTGCAATGTTTCCCTTTTTTTCAATGTTCTTTGTTTTTTATTTCAGTTTGTTTAGTAAACTAGCTTAGTTAAGTATAATATTCTTATTAGGTTAACAACAACAATATTACAATTATTTTCACGGGCTTATTACAAGTGTAAAGTTTCTATTCACTTTACAATGTTACCACTAAAAGTCAAAAAATATTTTATTAACTGTGATTGTATGACGTTTGATAAATGATGAGACCAGGCGGGGAATATATCGGCAATCGTCAATAATGTCGGGAGGGAGGCATCGAGTCGTGGATGCCATCATATATAACACTTCGGCATATTTCTCCGCGCGTCGGTTAAGCCACTCTTATTTACTGATATTGATACAGGCCCCGTCGAAATGACAATTACGCGACGCGTATATTTCACGTAACGTAAGGATGTAAAGAAACTGGATATGGCTTCATTTAATAAGTATTAAGAAAAACTTCCTGAAATGAACATAGATCATTATCTTCCTGTCTCTAAATTGCGCTATATTAGGTCGGTATTATTCGTCGTTTTAGTCTTCACTACCTTTTTAATCCAGTCACATCTAAAAAAGTAAATCTGTCCCTACAAAGGTAAGTAAATATGAAGGCAGGCCGCAGGTTACAAGGTTACAATGAATTAGGCGGTGATTATGAAATGTTAGTAAATAGTGTGTTAGTCAGGAGTAGTGCGAGTTAGTCTCTTCCTTTAGCGCTATATCTTCGGCATCAATACGCGACACGAGAACGAATTTCCCTCGAGCGCAATCCACAACAAGCCGCGAAGAAGAATAACCGAGTGAATGCAAAATGAATATTATCATACAAATTTCCTTTTCTATATGAACTGGAGTTATGTCGTGATGTAAGTATGCAAAAATATGGAACGACTCCTTTGCCTTTCAAATGTTAACGGCGAGTAAGAAAATATTTGTTTCGCCAGTTTTTACGCGACGTAATTTTGTGAGCGCGTAATTTGCATTTATTACGCGAGTAATGCACGTAAATAACGTTGTCGTATCATCTTGATCACGTTTATTATGTGCGAATGAATAATACAGTACGTTCCTTCTCTTTATATCATTTTTCAAGAGAGAAATCGAAACCATAAAAAAATAATGTGATATAATTTGAAGGAAATTATATTGTAAAAATCTTCTGGTTCCGAAATAAAATACAGCAGCAGAAAGAATAGTTGATCACACACAGTAAAAGAGTTGTATGAGTTGTTGAATAAATGATTAAATATAATATGCTTTTACAGAGTCGCCAGTCTAGATTTTTTTTTTATATATAGAAAAAATATTAGCAGATATTTCCTTAATTTACTAATATTTCTTGTACCATTCCTAAGCTCTAGGCTTATGCTAAAATATGGTTTACGACAATAGTCGAATTGTGGGATTCGAACTCTCGACCGAAACATCGGAAATCCGTACCCTTAACCATTAGGCTATGTCCCGGTAAATACGGGTTTTCTGTAGTTTAATAATAGGTTCAGGGACTTTTACGATATTTGTCTTGAAAGTATTTAATAATGCGTTACGGAAAAGATTTTAATAAGGAATGTTATAGGAGGAAAATATTTAGAAAAATTCTGAATCTTTATGAAGGAAAGTTACTTAAAACAGCATTTCTTTGCTGAGATTGCGTTAATCAACATTTTATACATTCCAGTAAGTATTCAATAATTGAGAAATACATTTAATAATGTAAAAATACCATAGAGCTTACGAGTACTTTTTATTTTTATGAAGAAAACGCTAACTTAACTAAACTTAACGATAAAGGCTCTATTTTTGTATAAAATCATATTAACCTAAATGTAATGTAAAAAGTTTTAGATTCTTAATTAAGTTCAAGGAATTTTATAAATCGAAATAACCTTCATTTCCATTGCTGCAAAATTTTGTATTACAACATTTTATTGTCCATGTTTTCTTCAAAGAGAGAAATGGGATAATAAAATGTTTGTATGGAAGTATTTCAACAGTGGAAACCCACGGCGAACATTTGAATGTTTTTCCTTCTCGCATTTGGCATTACGAAGGACGATGTTAAAATCACACGGGTGTACTCAGTATTAGGGCTTTCGATTTCCAAAGCTTTTGTCAGATGTGCGTTGATTCGTTATTTCCATTAGGCTAAATGCCACTTTTACGAGAAATGTCACTTTTGTTGTCGTTAATTACACTGTTGATATGAAAAAAGTTGGAAAAAAATGTTTTTTTTTTGTGATAAAATCAAGTGATATTAAATAGAAAAGTTTTTTATTTTTGTAAAAGGTAGAAAACGTGTAAGCTAAACTGAAATCGGGAGGGGACCAGTGCCCATAGACAACAGGAATCGCAAATGCGTAGCCTACCTTTAATCTAGAGAGGAGAAAGAACACACACAAGAAGGACATTTCCCCCCTCACTAAATCCCCCCACTCTTTCTGTTCAATCCTTACGAAGAGAACTAAAATTAAGGTTCCGGCACGCAAGTTTTACGATGCAACTACGTCCGTGCTAAGAGTTGTTTATTGTCATTTTGGAAAATTCAGCAGTTAAAGTGATTTTGTTAAATAATATGTCCTATTTTGATATAAAGTGCAAAAATATAGCTGACCTGTTCAATGAATAACAGGAGAATGAATATTTAAGCAATAATTAATCAACTTTTTCATTGTTCCTTTTGTGTTTAACAAATCGATTGGGCGCCAACGCCATTGTGCTGAATACAGCGCCCTCTATGAAGCTGGAACGCGTAACAGCAAGACAATGGACGCTTCAACCGTTCAACGTTTATTACACAGCATTACTTGATCTTTGTCTGTTTCAATTTTTCAAATATGAAGAGGAATGAATCAAATAATTAAATTACACTAATATTTTGCCATTTTAGTGGCTTAAAACCTAGGAATCTTAAGTTTATAAGGTTTATCGATAGTCGAATTGTGGATTCGAATTTCTTATGTCACAGAACTGAACTGCTGACTGAGAAATGAACTCACGTTATTTTTGTTTTGACATTTTACTAATATTACAGAATGCAGAAAGCCATGTGTGGCCATACCTTTTATCTTTAATACAGATAATATAACGAAAAAGTCATTCTTTTATCTGTGTCAGAACAAAAGACAAACGAGTAATTCGTCTTTTATTAATGGCAAGCGGTCTCTGCCGTTGTTAGAGAACAAATGATGAGAACGATCAAACATTAATGCATTATATTAATTTTCTGAATAGAAGAGCGAATATTAAAGAAAATACAGCGAAAAATTACTATTGTCCAATTAAAAATAATGAAATTACAATTATCGATTAACAATATGTTATTTTAATTAAATAATAATAAATATGACAGAGTAAGGAAAGATAAAAATTACCAAGGAACAAGTTTTTTTAATCCGAAATACGCTGTCATGTACAGAACGAAAGTTTAGTCGCAATTTTTGACTTAATC